GTACCTACAAACGCTGCGCCAGTTCTGCCTACGTTCTCTGCAGGACCCGTCGTCGCTTCGGTAGTGGTCCCGAGTGGCATAGCTTATGGCTCACTGGGCCTGTGACTCAGGCACTCGCGACCACATGTGCTACAGCACCATGCGCTCGATGTCGATGGAGTACAACCCATCGGTGTTTGCCGCTTCCGCACTTGCCGCTTCTTCTCTGCATGCATGAGGTCTTTCTCCCGCACTTCAGCAACTGCCTTTGTGATTAGATCGCGCCATGCATGCCGATCAACCGCCTTCGATTCCCATGATCTGCAATCAAGATTAGAACGTGTGAGGCTCACTTTAATCATGTCCTGGTATCGTAGCTTTGGTTTCCCCACGTACCGTTTCTCAATACCCAGCTGGCCATATAATAGCTGCTTCGGTATCCGCGTTGAATCCATACGGCTCACATGACCGATCCAACTCAGGTGTCTCAATAAAAGTATGCAGTCCACTGCATACATCCCACTTCGGCGCAACGCTTCCGTGTCTGCAACTCTGTCGCCCCAGCCGATGCGCAAAATCCGTCGCACACATTGCTGATGGAACCGCTCGAGATATGGCACATCCCGACTGTACATCGTCCACGTTTCACTGCCGTACAGAAGAACGGACAGCATCATGGATTTGTACACCATCAGCTTCGTGCCAATGCCAAGCTGATGGTTGTTCCACATTCGGTACTCAAGCTTCCCGAATGCCGCCGCTGCCTTCGACACGCGGATACGCAGCTCACTGTGTAGCTGCTGATCAGTCGACATCACACTCCCAAGGTAGCAGAAACGGGAGTTGGTTTCTAATACTTGAGCACCAATGCTGATTCGCGGCAATATTGAAGATGGCACCTCCGTTGAAGGCTGAAAGAGACAGCCAGTTTTGCCTATGTTGATGGTGAGCCCGAATTTGGCCGCTGTCGAAGCCAGAGCACTAGTCATGTGCTGCAACTCATCCGCGCTGTGTGAAAACAACGCACAGTCGTCAGCAAACAGCAACATACGGATAGTTGTCTCACAGACTAGAGTTCTCGCACCGAAACGACGGATGTTCAGGAACCCACCATCAATACGGTGCTCCACACGAACACCGTAAGCACAAGCGGCATCAAAAGCACAGGACAATATTGCATGAAGATATATATTAAACAGGGCAGGAGCTAAGACACAACCTTGCTTCACACCAGAGACAACTGTAAAGTCATCAGAGGTCTCTTCACTCAGCTGCACCCTGGCTCGCATACCACTGTGCAGACATTCAATTAAACTTACAAACTTACGCGGGCAACCAAACTTACCCAACACCAGCCACAATGCCTCGCGGTTCACCGTATCAAATGCCTTGGTGAAATCAACAAAAAGCGAATACAACGGCTGGTGTCGTTCTCTGCACTTCTCCTGCAACTGACGAGCCAGACACCATATTTATAGTGCTGTGACCCCAACGGAATCCACACTGCTCCTCCGCCACGTTAGGTTCCACAACCTGACTGACGAGGCGGTTGAGCAGGATTCGGGCAATCACCTTGCCCACACAATTCAGCAAGTTGATGCCACGATAATTCGTGCAACATTGCTTGCTCAATTTACCCTTGTACAGTGGTAGCACAAGGGCATCCTTCAGCTCAGGAGGCACATCCTCCTCAATCCACACGCGTTGCACCAAGTGCTGCAGCGCAGTCAACAACGCGGGTCCGCCGTGTTTCAATACTTCAGGTGGGATCCCGTCGGCCCCGGCACACTTGCCGTTTCGCAGCTGAGCAAGTGCTTTCTGCGTCTCATCCAGTCTCGGCGTGTCCGCCAGATCCGCCTTCACATCGTGCTGCTTGAGGCCGTTCACTGTCGGCCAGTCGACCTCTGAACGGTTGTTCAAGAGACAGTCAAAGTGTTTCCGCCAGATCTGCATTATGTCTGCAGTCTGTGTGCAGGTAGCGCCTGAACTACCATCGATCAGTGTCCTCAGCGGCTCCGATCTCGGTCCATACATCGCCTTCAAGAAATCAAAGAAATTCTTGTGTTGGCGGCGTTCGGCGTAGCATTCCATCTGCTTCGCCTTCTCCGTCCACCATGCGTTTTTTGATGCGATGGAGCTCTCGGGTCAGTCGCCGTCGAAGCTTGCGAAACTGACTACTCTTTCGCAAGTCACTGGGGTCTGCAACGTGCATCAAATGCTGCATTCTTCTCCGACACCAATGCACCAGTCGTCGCATTGATGTCATCAAACCAATCATGCCGCTTACAGTTTGCGCGCCCGATGGTCTCCTCGGCAGCAGCTGTCACCTGGTCGCGAATGTGGTGCCACAAATCACCCACTGTGGCTATGCAGTCCACATCACACAGGCGTGCAGCCATCGCATTCTCCAGCTCAGTACGTTTCGCCACAGTACCGAGGGAGAGAATGTTAAATTTACGCCGATTCACGGCGGGATATATATATATATATATATATATATATATATATATATATATATATATATATATATATATATATATATATATATATATATATATATATATATATATAATACACAATCTGTGGTACAGATATTGTGCCATCGAAATCATGGCTGAATAGGAAAACAGTATGAATAATAAGAAAAGCGCAACAACAACAAAAGCTTTTTTGTCTAGTTTACCTTTCACTGTTTTTAAAAATTTTCAGTTTGTTATTTTTTAAGCGGAGGAAGATGGGACACCGCAACACACCGATGCACACGTCCGCCATTGACATCGATCTTGAGCCTTGGCTTCCAAGGTCTTCAGCCAGCAACTATCCGCATCTCTCGGACCCCAACCAGGTAGTCGACAACCACCGGCTGAGGCCAACTGTCTCGTCAGCTTTTTCATGCGGCTTCTCCAAGTTGCAGGCTGTCTACCGTCTCTTCCATCCCTGTCCAGCAACTGCAAACAACGCACGACGCGGGTACCGCTAGACAGGCATGCGCAATACGTGTCTCAACCACCGCAGTTGACGCAGTGAGATGAACTCCTCGAGTGAGTGGCTTCCTTGTCCCAAGACACTGTCTAACTTCCACATTGCTTACGTGGTGCTGCCACCACACACGGGCAATGGACCGCAGACAGCGGTGCTCGAAGGCAGATAGTCTGCGCAAGTCATCTTTACGAATGGGCCAGGTCTCGCATCCGTACAACAAGACAGCAAGAACAGTTGCACAATAGACCCGCCCTTTGATGGAGAGACGAATGCCGTGGCGACGCCACAAGTGCCTCAGCCTAGAAAAAGCAAAGCGTGCTCTCGAGATGCGCATCGAAATCTCCTCTCCAACAGCCCCGCCAGCAGTGATGCAACTTCCCAAGTAGACAAAGCTCTCCGCAGCCTCTAGTGTTTCACCAGCAAAAGTGAGTGCAGGCAGAGGCACCTGCCAGTCTTGGAAGAGAGCCTTGCATTTGGATGTCGGAAAGTACATACCGTACTTTGATGCTTCAATCGCCAAGCGGTTTAGTGCAATTTGGACGACATGGGGATTGTCACCCAGCAAGACGATATCATCAGCATAATCCAAGACAACAACTCGAGTACCTGGGAGGAGCTCAACGCCAGCGTTCAACGAATCGCCGTTGCCGCACCGAATTGTAATATTTTCGTCTCTGCTGCTCACAAGCTATATATCACAGCCTAGTCCGAAACAGCACCAGACAAGTTTCGCCCTATTAGGGCTCGTTAGTGGTGCGCATTCCCTCGGTCCCCTACTGGGGATCGAACCCATGACCGCTAGAGGCAGATGCCAACAAGCCAGCAGCTTAAGCAACTGAGCCATGGGGAACGTCGGCTTAGCTACACAATTTGCAAGCTAACTGAGATATAGCACGACCTATCTTCCACTGCCACGCAGGTTACTACCTTAGCAGATGACAGTGGCTAGCCTCCGAAGGTCATGACTTCCTCTCACTGGATGCTACGTCCATAGCATTAGAAACTAGGGGGGCTGCATATTATATTGCTAATGAGTAAGAGGATTTTCGAACAAATTGTGCGAAACCGCTAGGTAGCCACTCCATGATGTGGCGTAGAGGCATGAGGAAATTGACTGTGACTTGGTCAGGCTGGTGCATGCCCTCTTTCTTGGAAAGATACCTCGGGATGGTACACACCAATAATTGAAGATATTTTCATGCGTATCTCATTTGCGCGGTCAGTGACGTTACTGCATTTGATTTCTACATCTGACTCCTAATTTTTATTCCATTCTGACAAGTTTAACTCAATTCCTTGATTTCATTTCTTTAATATTCTATTTGCGTTCAACCTGTGCCGTTACTTATTGTTATTCTGGCGATGTGATTCGTAGCACCTGGATCCACCGCACTTCGGTGCCCCGATCATTGTTGTGCCACTGAACTGAACGTAGTTATGGCAGCTACTCTTGAAGCCCTCGAGCGTCGGTTAGATGCTCTTGGGTGGCAGCACTTAATCTTCAACTTCTAACCGACTTGTATCTTCAGCCTTTTCCTATTTTTTTCAGTTCCCCTTATGCCTTGGTATTATCATCATTTAGTTGACCTTCCACCTCTTGCTTTCTGAGCTTACCATTTACATACTTCACAACCGGCCCGGTAGGGACTACTAGGTGAGATGTGGGCAGTAACTGGTTGGTCAGGGTGCAATGCGGTTTTCGTTAGATTTATCAAAATCTCATAGACCTTTCAATTCCCAGTTTAGCGATACGCAGAAGGAACGGTCCCTCGATTATCTATTTGTTCCTTTCCCAACCGAAGTTAAACTTGTACATGAACGTCAGTTGCTAAACAGTTAAACCTATTAGTTTCACTTAGTTTTAGACAGGTTACAAGGTCAGAACGTATCACACACTATTGTATGATAAAATCAGATAAACATTGCAACAAAAGCAATGTGCGTGTCGTGTGTTCTAGCTCAATCGTCCAAAATGTTTTTATGCGCCCATGAAAGGTATCCATCGTTAAATACTCTGGTAACGTGGACCCATTGTTTTAGCCTTTATTTCGACAACGCGTCAACTTTCATTTTTCGGTGGACCTATCGTTGTCAACTGCAAGAATGCACGCCATTGACGTTATATGGATAGGAATAATGAACCTTCAGTAATAAGCCTTCCCGTTTGGACGAGTAATGCGGAGTCTCATACCCCGTGATATCTCTTCTCTTTCTACTGCTGAACTTCAGTTCGAAGTTGCCAGATGTACTCGGTTGAGGAAGAAGTAAGCCGAATGGTTCCTACTTATTGTGTTCTTAGCTTATCTCTGCGATTGCCGGATGGTGGAGCCAAACTTACTGCTTATTTGGAACAGCTTAATAACGCGTTGTCCAGTCGATCCCAAGAAGATTTGATCAAAGGATCGCCTAGACCCCTGCCAATTGTAGTCGATGAAGAGCGGGTAGCTCCTGTTGTGTTTCACGTGGCTGAGTAAGCAGTTGTGTTGTTCAACGCTTTACGTATAGAACAACTGCAAATGTTGATGGTAACGCTTTACCTCAAGAGTCTCTGGACAGTGCTGGTACAGATATATGTGATCATTTCGCGAATTTATCGATTCAGTCACGTGAGTTTTATTTGTCGAATATTCAGTAACCTAACTCCTCCGCCCACTGTTTCGTCTTGCACTACGTCAACTTTGGTTCACTGTGTGCATTATTTTGACAGCCGTGCAGTTCGTCGTTGTCCAGGTTCTAACTTGTTGCTTTCCATCTTTCTCTAATATTCAGCCTTGAGGAGCAGATCAGATAAATGACGATGGTCACTGTTTTGCTTGCCACTAAAAACAATGACCATCTCGCTGCTTTGTTCGTTTTACTGCTTTTGCATGTAAGACCACCAAATTCTTGTTATATCTTAGTTCCGTCTTCGGTAACACTTGTTCACATCCCGAATACATGCTGTTCACAGTCAAATCTCCTGAAGACCTATCACTTCTGGGTGCTTTTATCCACTTCATCTATCACCGTAACATTTCCGCTAGCCTCACATCTTGATAGTAGCTTGCTACCCGTAATCAACTCGGTGTCTACACTTACTCTCTTTCGATGTAGACGGAATCCATCCTTTGTCGATAATTACTCATTGGCACTTACTATGTAGCACTGATAAATGACTAGAAAGGAACTTGTTATTCTATAATCTGTCGTGTGAATATTGTTTTTTCGTTTCTATATAAGTCAAAAAAGTATATGCAGTACACCGGTACGTAGTACCAACGTTTCGCTGCCACGCAACCACCACCAGTCGCGCGTGGGCTAAGGGGATTCTGCGAGGGTCGCCCTATCTCTTACGCAGGCTCGAACCCGTGACCGGATTAAATGGGTGGCTTCATTTCTATGTGTATCTCTGCGAAGCGGCAATCAGCAAATTCACTTTTTCCCTCTTAGTTGATTCCCACAGTTTTTGCCCTAATTCCCCAGCATATGAATATATGCTTGTGTTCACACTCGGTTCTGACACTCGTTGATTACCATGCACTCCACTGACAGAATCATCCATAGTTGAATGCCAATTAGTTGCGACGTCAGTTTCATACCTCGAAGAATCTGATTCTTAATGTGGTTCGATGGTTCATGTGCCTCCAGCGACTATAGAACCACGCTAGGTGCTGGCAAAGCCATTCGTGCCAAATAAGTTATCCAGATGGCTCCAAATTTCTCATCGAAAATTAAAGGGAGTTCGCTGGTTGTCCCTTACTAGACCTAATCATAGGAGATGGTATTCGCGAGTCATGATTTCAGCACGGTTTGTGTAGATCACGGGTACTATCCGCTGTTTAACAATTGGAATTCACCATTTTCTCACTATTTTGATATTACTTACTCGAAACTAGGCGGCCCCCGGACAGTAAGAGGCAAATTTGACGGAATTGGTATGCAGGTGATCGTGTGGCTTGTGCATATTCTTCTACAGTTGCAAGCCTACGCAACTAATTCCAGTTCTATAACTCCCTGAGCTGTTACCGTGATTTACCAAGCGCCACATGAACTTGACACCCAAGGATCTATTGACTCGCTACCTACAGTTCCTAATCGTCTGTTACGAGTATGGTTTTCTCGTGTAAAGTCGCATTTTAGATTATCATTCGTCATATCACGTCGTATTCTTCACTACATGCTGTTTCAGCCGATGGATTTGAATCTGATTTGGATTGGATCGATCTCCCTGCACTAACCTTGGACGAACTGAACCACATACAGGATACACTCAATTTGCCCCTTACGTTCCCTTCCTCCTGGCGCTGGTTCGTCTTTTCATTACGATTTATTGGCAGATGGGTCTACCTGACTGTCTTCGACTGTGCGTAAGTCCGGCGTTTTTCTTTTTTTTAAACCATCACCCGAACGAACGGTATATTGATCAATGTAGCAGTGAATCTGCATGAAATTCATTCAGCTTGACTCATGCACACGCTTACGAAACTTTTTTTCCCTTTTCTAACTAACTCAGTGGTTCACCATCGTTCACTCACTGCTGTCAACGGTGACCAACCGCTGCCTGTTGACTGATTTTGATGGCACATCCAATGTAAAGATTGCTTGTGCACATTGCGTTGTGAAGTACAGTATCTTTCACGGTGCATCCTCTTCTGCACTAGTTCATCAGCTACTTTATTCTGTTATGAGTTATTCCCAGCTATGTGCTAGTCAATGTGGGTTCTGTTGGAACTCACTACGGTTATGTTCGCGCATAGATCTCTCCACCCCCGACAGTTCACTGGATATAGAGTAGTGGAGAAGGAATTTGGTTTACTTTCTTTCAGTCAGACAGCCATTATATCTCTGCAAGAGAACTTACTGTCCTTTTCGTACGTTGGAAACTCGTCAGCAGTGCACACTCCGAGCCAATGATTGGGATCACTAGACCAAGGGGACGGTGGTTGTACTATTTACTGTCGTATGCATTTCCAACTGGAAGAGGGCGTAACTGGCTCCCGGCGCCACCACCCTCTTCTGCACCGCAATCGTCCGATTACGTTGTAGAGTAACCTTGATAAGTTACCTATGAAGTGCTTTTATTAAGTCCGTGAGTTTCACCTTCGATGCAACCGATGCGTTCGGCGCTAGTTATTGTTCAACAACTTGATGACCTGCCTTGGTTCAGGGGTTCGGTGAACTACTCAACAACATTAACTGCACGGCTTGTTTTCCAAATATTTTAATGGCCGGAGAACGTGGTAACTACTTCATGCAGTTAATGATAATTTTCGCCGACCTGGGCCATCTGTTCTCCACATTGATTATTTAACCCTGAGACTATGAATCTGTGCGGAGTGCACAAGAGGAGGTTGATGCCTCCAACCTTGTGGCACTTACGTTTCAGTTTTATAGCTGCATTTATTTATTTTTTTGTTTTATCAAGCTCCGTCGATCGCTACTTATTTCGCACTGGGCTTCATGCGCTATGGTTTCCACAAGTTGGCAGTAAAAAGGAGGTAATCCATTTAATTTGTTTTCACCCGTTTGTCCTTGCTCTTAACTGTGGCGGGGCCTTCAAATTAGGCCGTGCTCTAATTTTTCCCTATTTAAGGGATTATTGTCACACACGCTTTCGACGATACTTACTAAACACTCATTGTTTTACTCACCTACTGTTTTTATCTGCAATCACTACCTTGATAAAGTTTACCCGCGATGTTCTGAAGTTCTTACGTGTTTCCGCGCCAGTTTACAAGGATAATCGTTCTATCAGGAATAGAATAAGGAGGATCTGCAAAAAATGGAACCAATCTATAATAAAGCATCATGCGGGGTGGAAATTTACTTTGAATCAGATCTATTTGACAAACATGAGTCTACCCACTTTTCTAATCGCCAATGTCCGTTCGTTCCTGGGAAGAAAGGATGATTTTAAAAGCATTATTAACTGTTGCGAATGCGCACAAATTGGAATCATTATGCTACAAGAGACATCGCTCCACAGGGATGTTGAAGACGCCGTTATTGCAATTGACTGTTTTGCTTTCGGGTTGATCGCACATGCACCTACTGGAATCAGTAGGTGAAAAGCCTCTTTTGCTACACGTCACAATGTATCGACTGCTTGAGTCTTACAGTATAAACCAATCTATCTGAACGGGTAATGGCTAATATCTATATATTCCCCAGTTGTCCCAACTCAGAAGCAGATGACTTTTACGGTTGCTGTTATTGGGAAGATCGATCAGACTCTGTGCATATTTCTTGGCGATTTCAACCACATTTCTTACAAATCTTGGGCTACAGAATCTTGTAAAATGTCCCACCAGGTTAGAGACAACCCTGGATTTTGTATTTGTCAATAGCCTAAACATATTTTTGGTCTGCACTCGGGCACTACTTGGCAGCTCAGATCATTCTATAGTCAAGTTAACCCGTTATCTACAGTAAACCACAGGGTTGCCAGTTGTTGCAATGATCGCAGACGGAAATGGAGACAATCCCTCCCTTCCAACATAGCGCGGCTTAGAGAAATGCTTGCTTCCATAGTCTTCAGTTTGCTTTTTGGCACAGATTTATCAAGTGACAGACTATCCGAACTTTTGTTACGACCTCTACTGTCAGATAGAAACCGTTTTTATCCGTGCTGATCGCTTTTCTTCACCCATCACAGGCAGCTTCGTAGGCTCATAGAAGGAGCTTTCAAAAGCAAACAAAGATCGTGCATTAGTGAAGTCCTTTTCTGCTCGTGTAAAGGGAGAAGTTCGCCACCTCAATCATGTATGTCCAGACAATTCTAGGAAACATTAATTGTTATGTGGCTTGGCTAATGATGAAACAGCTCGTCGGAGTCACCTGTCAGAGCACAAATTCTTATGTGGCCGTGATTCGTTCTCTAACTCATCAGCTGCACCGTTTCAGTGGTCTACGGATTCGATGTCGCATCACTGCATAAGAAGCTAACCCAGCTGCTGCACTCAGGCAAGGCATGCGGGCCTGACAGGTTGTTTCCCGTCGTTCTGAAGCAGTATGCCAATTCCTTAGCTCGGTCTCTAGCTGAGCTATACCCATGCTTTACACGAGCTATACACAAAGAAAAATCGCGGATGGTTGGAGGATTGCTGGCTTAACGCCAGGACCGGAAAAGGGCCGGGTAACTATCGGCCTATCGCATCCATCTCGGTGGTTTTGTAGGTCTTTGAAAAAATTATTTTTGGAAAATTGCTGGCCTAGTCCCGTTTAAATGACCCATTTCAGTTTGCGTATAGATCCGCACAAGATGCAGTGGCTTGTCTAGTGCATTCAGTTTTGTCGTCACTAGGCAGTAAAAGCAAAGCCACACGTCTTTGCTTCTTCGACTACAGCAACGCTTTCGCTTGTGTTAACCGTAAATTGCTGTTGCGAGATCTACAGACGTCTGATATTCAATCTTCCCTAGTATTCTTGCTGAAGGATTATTTCACCAGACGTACTCAGGTCGCCAGTTTTGGCGGCAAAGTTTCTCACCACTTACAACAACATCTATTGTGCTTCAAAGAGCTATTTTGTCACTATTCTTGTTCTCTACTTACGTTGGCTCTATACTTGTCCCAGTAGAAACCATTCTGTTAACGTATGTGGATGACGTTATCATTGGCGTGAGTCATAAAATCTCGGCCTTCTCAGCGAAGCTGCAAAGTTGTTTAGACGATGTAGTAAAATGTCCAAACTGCCGTTGCTTGACGCCGAACGCGTCCAAGTGTTTTCACCTCATAAAACAGCCCGTTACCAAGCACTTGGCACGGAATGTCCCAAACTTCAGGTTGAAGATGAGCTTATGTATGTCAGTGAAGAATCTTGGAGTTGCACTGACCCACGACTTGTCGTGGTCACTCCACGTGAATATCGAATATTCACCAAACTCAGGCGACTTTCATTTTACGCCGCTCGATTGCGGCGGTCATCCTGTGTGCCATACAGTTTGATTCTGAATTTCATCACTGCGTGCAGTCTACCTCACACTGGACTTAATGCGCTCTCCTGTGATTTTCTCGGGTCTACTGCGTAACCATTTCAAGCTGCTTAACAGGTTACTGAATCACTTGTCATGCTGCAGTGGTATTCCAAACCCAACTTTGGCAACAACCTTTGGTATCAACGCACGCAAATTCATGCCCTAAACTTGCTTCAAAAAATCTTCACTGATATTAGCCACCCTCTTCCCACTGCAATCGCATATATACTTCGTTGACCAGGTAAAAGTACAGTGCACGAAAGCTTATGGTTCGTCAGTCATTTCCTATTTAGCCAGCTTTCTTTTTGACCTAAACGCTATTATTCAGAAACCGTCCAGTAAATTCTGCCAGTGAAGTTATTTTTTCTTATTAAGCCATTTTTGCTGTTTGTCCTGCCTCTTTTGAGCTACTATTTTGTCTTTTCCGTAGCTTGTGTCAAGGCTGAAAATTCACCCATCACGGGTGCATAAAAACGCATGCTTGGCTTCACTGTCGTGACTGATGTGGTCTTGCAAGATTGTTTCCTCAAATATTCACTGTCAGTATTCAATTCGTTTGGTTTTTCTATTTAGCACGTTACCACAGCTGTCAGCTTCGACCCGCCTTCACATTTGTGTTCTCCAGCGGACGCTGTAACCGACTTGTGGCAATTTCTCACTGCTTGTGATGACGCAGGCAAACCACTTGTGAAAGATCGAGTCCAGACCAATGTACCGTGTCTGATCTGTTGCTCCGCGCCATCTGCTCACGTAACTGATCTTGTGTGGTTCAGCCGCCTGCTGAGAACCGCTCGGCATTCGGTTAGCGCACGCACTTCAATGCCACGTGATTGTCGTTTTGTTGACGTCGGGATTCCCGCCACTGACATCACACCAGCACTACATGGACCTGACTTAACAATGGCGGGGGATCCACGTGATATGTTTGTCGGTGAGTGCCGTTCGCTGGCACGGCTAGTTTTTTCCGAGCCCTTGACGTCTTGTGAAGGTTTGAAGCCGAAGCTGTTCGAAACGGTGTACGATTTCTTTCGTACTTTCACAACCAGAGGCCTGCCTTGGATGGAGGTATGATATTTGCCCTTTTTGATTCAGGGTTTTTGTCCGCTGCTTTGTGCATTCTTCCTTTATATCAACTTTTTTGTGGACGAGTTCTCTCTTGCGTTGTTCTCCGCCCTCATTTTCTGATTCATTATCCATGGAATCTAGTTTTTTGGTTTACAGCTCACTGTACTGCAACATGCATCTGGAGCGTACGCTTATCTTGTGGATTGATATTTTGTTGGTCCTTGTTTCGATCACAGCCTGTTCTTTTTCACATGCAATTGTATAGTTGTATGTTTGCAGCTGTCTGGAGTAAATCGACCTTAGTGGCAGTGTACCATAGGGGCAGTCTCACTGAATATGCTAACCGTAGGAATATTGGCCCTAACGCTAGTATTGCCAAAATTGTTGACCTGAATTCTCGTTCATCGCCTCACTGTGGGACAGAAATTCAAGATTACAGAAGAGCAGGCAGGTTTTCGCCTATGACGGGCTGTACAGAGCATATGTTCACTCTGCGGTATGTTAGGACAGGGTGACACATACTGCAGACAGACAGTAACTGTACTTCTCGACTTCAAGTATGCGTTTGACTCAGTCGATCTGCCATTCTTTTATATATGCACATTTCCCATAAACATGGGACACAGTCCGAGCATTATTTACTAGTTCCATTCCTGAATTGCAAGGAATTTCGATTCACTTTGATCCCAGCTATCAAGGGGATTTTTCCTCCGAAGATGCGTCGTTTCTTGGTGACAAGCATTTCATCACAACATCGGACGTTTTATGGTCCCGAAAGGCCCAAAAAGAAGAAAAGTACAAATATATATGTATCGTAAATCAAGCATTTCTTGGGGAAATGTAAAAACTGTGAATTTAAAGATAGAAATGGTTTGTGGATGATGTAGCAGCGTTCTGGAGTACATGTATACAAAAATTAGAGTGGATTGACTCTAGTTTGTGGCACAGATTTCCGCATATTAACGAACGGGAAATATGTCGCCTAATGCTAACTTACTCTACGTTGAAAGCGTCGTTTATGACGAATATGCACTATGCACGTTAATTAGGACGAGTGGACTGTGGGGTATCAAAAGACATGCAGAACATTAGCTTGATAAGCCGACAGTGTTTGGCAACTGGTTTAGGCATGTAATCAGGCCAGGAAAACGTCCACGAACATGCTAAACTGGATCTGAGTGACAATCCTATCAATGCTATCCACATGTCTGTTGTTTCACTAGCGAATGATAAAACCAAGTAAACTGAAGCGAAATATTTAGTGACAAGTTGGGTTGCAGTTGAGATGACTTGGGTACCCAGCCTACCAACAGGTCAGTGGTTCCATAAGGGAATGGCAAGCTACAAGCAGGTAAAGCGAAAGTGGATTTATGAGTGAAGAGGTAGTTGACTGGATCTGCGAGTCCAGCCAACCAATTTGCCAGTGATTCAACTGACACTTGGTAGCAGTGGAGCCACATAATATCAAGGGGAGTTGTTGTATTCCAAGAGGGAATAATCCATCACCTCATCATTACACGTTAGCCGAGAATGAGAAACACACCTAAACTAATGTGCCGCGATACAAAAAAGATAAAATATCAAATATCGTAGCACACAAAATAAGTGATATATTCAATTGCTCATTTGTTCCTCGAGCTGCGAAATTGGTTTGCAAACGTTTCACCGTCATGCGAGACGTCATCATCAGTGCGTCGAGATATGCAGTGTAATCTCGCTGATTGAATTGTCGACCCGTGATCGGCGTGCAGGTGACATTTCGAAAGTGACGGCTTCGATCTGAGTCTCGTGATCTCTACCCATTTCCCCGTGGCGGAGGTCGTCGCTTGGGTTGTTCCTATTCAAGCGGCGTCTCATAATTTCTCTAAGTTCTCTCCGTCGGAGGGGTTGGTAAACCGGGTCAATCTCGATATGCATGTTGATCGAGTCTTGTGTTGAGAACCACGCTTCCAGGAATTCCCTTGCTCTTCTTGTTTCACCACGTGCCAGGACTTCTGTGTTGGCCCAGTCGAAGCTGTGTTCTTTTTCATCCACGTGTGCTGAGACTAGCGAAGATGCACAGTGTTTTTTGCATGCTCTTTCATGCTCTTGTAATCTTGTTGTTAATTTTCTGCCTGTTTGGCCAACGTAGTCCTTTTCGCAACTTCTACAAAGTAGTCTACATACAACATTGCTTTGCTCATGAGCTTCCAGTTGCTCTTTCGTTTTTGACCGACTTCTTCTCAGTGTAGCAGTTGGTTTGTGTGCTACGATGAAGTGATGTTGTTTGAATAGTCTTGCTGCCATTTCGGATATATTCTTCATATAAGGTAAAACAACGCGTCTCTCCGTCGTTGGCGTAGACTGTCTGTTTGGTTTGTTGTGGTTCAGACACCTTCGGATGAAGCTTCGTGGATATCCACGACGACCTTATCCTGATGTCCTTGGCCTTTTGTTATACGGTTCGTAACCTCATCTTCTACTAGCGCTGAGTTAGCTGCCTAGATACTTGAATTTCTAGAACCCTTGTAGCCGGTCACCACCAAGCGTCAGCGCGGAGGTGGGTTCATGCCAATCTTGGAGGACTTTGCATTTCGATGGTACAATGCATAGCTTGAAACAACTGCCAGCAAATGATAACTGTCATCGACATACCCCAAGTCAAAAATTCGCTCACCAAGAAACAGTTCCACGCCTTGTAGGTCGTGTCCAGCGAAACTCGATTCCATGACTTCATCAATAGCGCAGCCAAAGTGGTAAGGTGACTATGGGCAACCTTGTCCCACACCGCTGAGATATTGAAAAGCAGCAACAGTTTGCTATAGACCTTCACCCTACCGTCGCAGCGAGACTGGACCTTAAGTTGATGTGACAGTTTGCGTACCTCTTTGAACCATTGAACTATACTGGGTGGTGCCTCCGGGCTGCTTGAGAGCTACTCCTACCAGGTTAGTCAATATATATAATATATATATATATATATATATATATATATATATATATATATATATATATATATATATATATAATCTGTGGTACGGGCATTGTGCCACCGGAATCATGACTGAATAAGAAAGCCGTATAAATAATAAGAAAATAACAACAACAACCTAACAAAAGCTTTTTTGTCCATTTTACCACACAGTTTTTGGACTTTTTTCTTTTTGTTTTTTTCTGGGGAAGAAGGAAGGACATCGTAACACACCGATGCACAGTCCGCCACTGACATCGACCTTGAGCCATGGCTTCCCAAGTCTTCAGCCAGCAGTTACCCTCATCTCTCGGACCCCAACCAGCTAGTCGACAACAACCGGCCGAGGCCAACTGTCTCGTCAGCTTTTTCATGCGGCTTCTCCAAGTTGCAGGCTGTCCACCAGACCGTCTCTTCCATCCATGTCCAGCAACCGGCAACAAAGTACGACACGGGTAACGCTGAGCAGGCATGCGCAATACGTGTCCCAGCCACGGCAGTTGTTGCAGTGGTACGAGGTCCTCCAGCGAGTGCCTTCCTCGTCCCACGACACGCTAGCTAGCTTCCACATTGCTTATGTGGTGCCGCCACCACACACGAGCAGTGGACCGCAGGCAGCGGTGCTCGAAGGCAGATAGTCTGCGCAAGTCACATTTACGAATGGGCCAGATCTCGCATCCGTACAACAGTACAGCATGAACAGTTGCACAATAGACCCGCCCTTTGATGGAGAGACGAATGTCGTGGCGACGCCACAAGTGCCTCAGTCTAGAAAAAGCGAGGCGTGCTCTGGAGATGCGCATCGAAATCTCGTCTCCAACAGCCTCGCCAGCAGTGATGCAACTTCCCAAGTAGACAAAGCTCTCCACAACCTCTAGTGTCTCACCATCAATAGTGAGTGCAGGCAAAGGCACTTGCCAGTTTTGGAAGAGAGCCTTGAATTTGGATGGCGAAAAGTACATACCATACATTGATGCTTCAATCGCCAAGCGGTTTACTGCAAGTTGGATGACATGTGAATCGTCACCCAGCAAGGCGATTTCATCAGCATAATTCAAATCAACAACTCGAGTACCTGGGAGGAGCTCAACGCCAGCGTTCAACGAATCGCCCAGAGCGTTCTTTAGGGCATCCTCAATGGCAAAGTTGAGTAGGAACGGAGAGAGAGCATCCTTGTCGAACTCCACTGGAGACTACAAATGTAGGCGAAAGCTTTCCATAAGCCCTAACTCTGCCCGAGGTCAGACCATGGGGAGCCCGCAGTATGGAGACGAACTTCTCGGGGACGCTATTCCTCTGTAGGCAATGCCACAGTACCGTCCGATCGACAGAATCGAAGGCTGCATGGATATCCAAGAACACAGCAATCGTTGGCGTCTGATACACATGGCGTAGCTCAAAGATCTGGCGGAGTGTAAAGATTTGATCGATGCAGCCGCGATCAGGGCGAAACCCAGCTTATTCTTCTCGCCGCAACGATTCGCGCGTTGGGGATAGCCTGCGAAGTATGATGGACACCAGCAGCTTGCAAACGACGGAAACTATGCGTATGCCACTGTAGCTGGAGCAGATTTTGCTCAGGCCGTTTTCGAAGATAGGGACTACTATCAATTCACCTCAAGATGATGAAACTTCTTCTTTCGACCAATCTTTCGAGAACAAAGCAGGGAGTTCTCGAAGCAGCGAAGCGCTATCATCTGTATGTAGAGCTGGAGGAAGACCATCAGGGCCGGGGGCTTTATAACGCTTCATGTGCCAGAGCTCCTGCTCGATTTCCTGGTAAGAGGGAGGATGTGTAGGCTAGACCACTCAGCACCAATGCGAGCGCCAGAGGTAGTAGATGGAGCTGGCGGCCGACAAAACTGCGAGCCAGAATGTTCGGCCCATCGCTCCAACCGTCGTTGAAGATGGGTGATTAAGGTGCCATCCTCTTCGCATATTGTTTCACTTATACCAGATCGAACACCTTCGGTGGCTCGAATGAGATGAGAAAGTTTTCTGCTAATACCAGAGAGACTAGCAACCTCCATCACCCTAGCACGTCCACACC